TCTAAATATAACCACTTACTATACCTTCGGCGATATACTTTTTCAGCTCCTTAAGCTATATAGGCCATAACGGGTATTAAGGCCTAAATAGAGGCTCCTTCCCCTTTTATAGGTTAATAGAATATTCTATATCCTCCAATAGAGGTAGTTCCTTCGCTACTTCTTCCGAAAATATATCTTTAAACTATCGTAGACTAAAAGGTAAACGCACGCCTTTAGGCCGTGGTTTATTATCGTCCACTAATAGAATCGTTATATCCGGGGTATTACCCGTAATACCGGTGGCTATAGTAACGTATATAATATACGCCTTTGCCCTTTACTCTACTACCTCTTAGGTCTAAGCCTCGGGTTCCGCGATAAAAAGCGGTCTAAAGCCGAATATTCGGCTAGCCGTATTAATTAGGATACTCTCCTAACCTATACTATTATTCGATAATAGTAAATAACCTAACCCCTTCGGCTAGTCCGTATAAATAAATACTCTTTTTAAGAGTTAGGAGCTCCTTTTAGAGTCTACTAAATAAAAAGCTAAGCCGTATACTCCGCGACTACTCGCCGCTCGGCTATCGAAGCTTTTTAAAGCCGGGGCCTAGATTCCGTCTAACGGCTATAACTTTAACTATTCTACTAGCGTTAGGCTAATAATATCGACTTATATACCCGTATCGAGGTTAACGCTAAGCCTAACCTTACGCCCTTCTCGGATAATATACGTTACTCCTCGCGCGATTTTACTAACCAGGACCTATTTCGGGGCTTCTACGGATATAGTACTTACCCCTTATACTACGCCGATCCGTTTCCCGGGCTATTAGAGATCTCGGGAATCCGTATATTATCGTTAAGGGCTAAATTCCCCTAAGCCTAAATATTACTTATATTAGCGCTTTTCTTCGCTAAGCCCTTACCGCCGTCTTTACGGTCTTTACTATAGTAGTCCTTAGACCGGTGTCCTTTTTTACTATAATTATAGTACTCCTTATTAAAGGGTTTATCTAACCTAAAGGTCTTTTAGGCGTTAGGCGTGGTTATCGACGATAAAGATTTTATCGCTTATTACTACCCCTTTAAGGTGCCTTCGGACTATTTAGCGGATAGATACCGTCCCCTCTATAACGGGTTATCTTTCTAATAGTAAGAGTAGGACCTCTTCCGGCTAGCGGACCTATCGTTTAGGGAGTATATCTCCTAAAATAACTACGCCTTTTACGCTACCGTGTAAGCCTCTTTAAGCTTAACCCGTTATTCACGAAGCTTATCGCGGAACCGTGCGGGTAATCGTCGAAAATAGTTATACGCACGCTCTTCACTACTATACGTCTTTTATCCTAATAGGCGATAGTATTTATCCTATTATTCGAATAACTTTATTAGCATTATCTCGCCGATAATATATAACTTATATAGCTCCTCCCGGTAGTAGAAATACTATAAGTCGCGGGATAGGTATTCTCGCCGAATAAATACACTAAAATCGTCCTATATAGGCGATAAGAGTTTCCGTTCGTAGCTCCGCTATAATATCTAGCAAGAGTGTTCTAGCTTAGTTAAAGCCTATTTAATTAGCTAAAGTATAGGGGCCTGTACCCGAAAACGGTTCCTGGCCTTAACTGCGGATACCTAGTTATTAATATTAGTAATGGTCGTGTTCTCTCTTAGAGTCTTATAGTTTTAGACTAGTAGCTTCTCGTATTCGCGCTTTATTACCGGATATTTAATAAGCCTTAATAGAATAGCGTTATTCTGCCTGTATATCTACTAATTAAACTCTTACTACTATTATACCTAACGCGCTAGTAAAGCGAATAGGTTCTTAGTAGTTATCGGGGATAATTCCCTTACACGGTTAAAGGACGCGTAGCTCGCCGACTATTTAGCGCTCCTCGCCCGCTCGATATTAAGCCTCCGTGGATAACTATCCACGGATAACGTCCGCGTTCGCACTGAATTAAGGGACAACGATAAGGCCGTATCGTTATGATTATCCTATCGGTCCCAACGCCCTACGGTGCCTCGAATAGGCTCTTCCTATTATACGCCTATATCCGCCTGCTTAGCGTTAGCAGTGCTTCGTAAAGTCTGCTTTAGTAGTATCTTTAGCCCGGAAACCTTATAGGTATAGAAGTTAAAGAATTTATTAAGGAATAGGCTATAATACCAGGGAAAAAATACACCGTAACGGATAGTATTATTCGGACTTAATAGTCGTATATCATAAAGACTTCAACTTAAGGAGGAAAAGGGGACTTTTCCCCCTCTACGCTAATATAGTAATTTAGTCTCGCCGAGTACTCGGCGATCCGAGCGTATCCCCGATTATACACAGTGCTAATCCACAGTGCCACTCAGTTCCTTACAAAATAAAGTTTTTATCTAAGACTAGAAGACTCTATAGAAGAACGAAGAGGAGGCGGAAAAAAAGAGTAAATCGGTACGATTAGGTCGCCTATACCGGTACTTAGTCCGCGGTAACCTCTATTTCTCCCGAAAACCACTACTAATATAAGGCCCTAGGTAGGTAAAATCGGCTTTTACGTAGATAAAAACCGGCTTCGGATACCTAAAAGCCTACTAAAAAAGGGCCTAAAACTGCGCCGATAACCGCTATTACTGTCCCGGCTCCCCTATACAGGATACAGTAGATCTTATTCTTTCCTACCCTTTCTATTAAAACGAATAAAAAGCCCTACGGGAAGCCCTAGCAGGTCTACCGCTATCTCTACCGCTATTATTCGGTACTAAAAGAGGAATACAGGCCTTACAGACCTATCTTTTAACTACTAAAATAGCCGTACCGGAGTAATACAGGGCGTAAACCTCGGATCCTGCGGTGTAGTTTTATTACTTTGGTTTTTTATCTATTAGGTCTATTAGGCAGATTGTTACGGAGGATTTCCTTTGTTATTACTACTACGTTTTATTATACTATACCTAGCTTCTGATAGCCTTTGGCCCCTAGGGCGATAGGCGCCGCGCCATAGCTTTAGGGCTGTATGCGCGTAAAGAATAAAAAAAAAGAATAGTGTTAAACTCGCGGCCGTATATTAGAAAATCGGAAACCTTATTATCGCGGACCTTTTTTATTACTAGCTCCTAAAGCTTAGTTTCTATCTAAATAGGCGTAAACTTCTATCTAACTACTATAAGGAAGTTCCGAATAGTAGTGCGTCCTTTAATCTCGGCTACCTTTTACTTATGTATGCGTCTAATAAGGGTATTTTACTCTGTATACTACGTAGCAAGTTTAGTATTATCTTAATAAGCGTTTCATAGATAATTTTCGTATACTCGTCTTACTTCTTCCTTTATATACATACTACTCGGAGCGAAGCTATTCTTAAGTTCTTTTATCACGTAGTGTAACGTAAAGTATCGGTTTTAGTTTTCTTTATGGTAGCAGGGATATTTCGTAATAGCCTTTTTAATATCCTATTAATAAACAGAGGTCGTTATAGTAGTTTTAAGTAGTTAATTAGCCTTATTAATTGCCTTAATAAGGCGTCCGAGCTTTTAATTCTAGGCTATAGTCTGCTACTTCTGAATTTCGGCGAGGCGTATAAGCTCTTACGTTAAGGGTATAATAGCATTATCACCCTCGCCTTAAGAGTACTATTCGCGTAAGTAATATAGGGATTTAGGTATATTATACTTAGGGCGGTTATCTAGCTAATCCTTTTAGCTAGGATTAAGTAGTGCCTAGACCTTTATCTCCTGCGTATAGGACTAGATATAGAAGATCTAATCTGCTTATTACCGCGTAGATTTAAGGCGCGGGATACCAAGCGCCTTTAGCCGTGATCTTAAGCTTATTTATTATAGTATTTAGTAAGGGTTTAGTAAATAAGAGCTTATTATTAAGAGAGAGAGCGTAGGAGGACTCCGTAATACTATGGAAGTATATAAAAATAAACTTAGATAATAGATTAGCAGGGAATTACTAGTTACTACTACTACCTAGGTTTATAACTATTAAATTAACGGGAGTATACTTATATAGAGCGTTTATTCAGGAAATATATTATTATATTAAGTATAAAAGAGAAAGAAAAAGGGGGCGGGTATATATATTCTAAATATATCTACCACCTTCTAAGCGAGGATAGTGGGGCACCTCCAACCACTAGGAGGTCACTATACCGTGACTCACGTGCTAGAATATAATACCCGTGCAATAGCTTTAGGGCTATATATATATATATATATATATATGTTAAAAAAGAAAATCATATTATACTACCCTTATAGCGTGCGGTTATATACGTATTTAGTGGTAGGAATAGCCTTAGGCTATATAAATACTAGTATCTTTACGTGGATATTTATCGCACGACCTTTCGAAATTACTATAGCGGTAACGTATTCGGCACCCCCGTTCTACGCTTATATATCGGGAGCAGATACCTCTAAAAGTATATCTCCTTCGCGCAGTAAATAGGTAATATCGTGCGATTAAGTTAGCTTATTATTACCTTCGAAAACACGTACTTTTAGCTTCTATTTATAGGATAGCATGTAACGCTTAGAAGTTGGTATAGAAAGCCCAAATAGGCTTTTAAGCAGGGGGAATAGGATTATTAGGGGGTAGATAATTCTATATATTCTTATTAATGGTAATAGCCTCGTAATAGCTACGCTAGAGCTCCTAATCGCGATAGGTTTTAAGGTAATAGGCTTAGAGTCCGATATATTAATAGTTATAGATAGACTCGCTATATCGGCGTAGCTAGATAGCTTCTTAATCGGTAGTAGTAAGGGTAAAGGGTAGATTTTCACTTAGCAAGTAAGACTCTTAATTATTAGATAAAGCGTAGTCAAAATCATCATAAAATAAGTCATAATTAACGAAGGTAATTATATATAATTATAACTATATAAGGACTGTTAGAGAATTCCTGCCACCGTAATATTAGTAGTAAAGATTCTGCAGGTATCCACCCGGAGTATAATCTCGGCCATCCGGCCCGTTACGTAACCGTCAAAACTACGGTCTGTTCGACAGATACGTCCACCTGTAAGTCGATGTTTCTTGATGCCTCTTTTACCGTCCCACGACAATGAATATGAAATAATAATGGTATTCAACGGGCAATTATGAGTCTGTCTCTCCCTCCACCGAAAGTCCTCATTCTAGCGGTTCACCTTGCTGCAAATGCCGCCGTGGACAAGTTGGCGTTCCTCGTACAGCAACATCCGACAGTTCTTCGGAAAGACGTCGTCCTTCGCATCCTCCTCACCTACCTCCCCGAGACCCTTCCTTCAGCCAAATATGTCCATCTTATCGAAGCGCTCTCCTCTGAGGATTTCGCCGACTGCGAGCCCGTCGACATCGACTCCTCCGTTGTTGCAGGGCTCTCCGTAGAGGAAGCTTTCAGGAAGCTCCGCAAGCTACGGTTTCTACCGTTCTCTGATGCGAAGGCACGTGCCGAAGCTGAAAACGACTATGTGGCTTCGTTTCTGTTCCGAAGAGCCTACAGTGTTGACCAACATGCCGGCATGCTGACCCAGCTGCCGATTTTATTCGCACCGTTTGCGCCGCAGAACGATGGCATCCGCACCTGGATGGTCTCGACATTATTGCCTCTTATGAGGAGGAATTTCGAATACTACCCGCACCATCCCACTCCGTATACGCTTGCCGAGTTCCAGGCGCTACCTGACGTCACTGCCGTCAGCGCTCTTTTGTCCCAGACTGGACGAGATGAGGACCACAACCTCCTGGGTCGTGATCTTCGCGGTCTTGTTGGACCGTGGCTTCGTAATGATGCACGGTGGACATCTGTGCTAGATGGGGCCGATGATGCTTTACGCGACACGGCATTTGCGACTGGCAAGCGCATCTGTCCTGGGTGGGAACGAGTGATGGAATGGTTGTTGATCAATGCTTCGCAAGATTGGAGACTCACATGCGCCGCCGTCATGCAGTGGAATGGGTCGCAAGATGTAGACTTAGGCGACTTCGACGTTGCCTGGCTGCAGGAAGAACACCATACCTATCTTGATCGCCGATATGCAAGAGCTATCATGGCCTCTGCTTACCTTGTTCCCGAGGCCACCCTTGATGCCGTAGAAGCCGTCCATCAGATGGTCGTCAAGGTAACGGAATTGCTGGGTGAAGGGGAGTTGCCGTCTTTAATTTCTGCGGCGGAGTCTCTAACACCTGTTCTGAGCTGGAACCACGACCACATGACGCGGAACTACACGATGCATGTGCGAAACGACCTGCTCTCCGAATCCAATCCCTTGACTCGTCCGTCACCATCGACTACCAGTCTGCTTCACGCACTGACCCTGAGTGCATATCTCTTGACCCGAGCTGGGCTGCCCGTCTCGGCGAAGCGAGCCGGCGACTTGGTATTCTCTCAAGATGAGCGGGAACAGAAAGCAGAGGCTACCAAGCTCATCGGTGTGATCATGAGCCGGAACCACGGAGCTGATGACAGTTCCTGGATCAGGACAAGGAGAGAACTTCTTTGGCTTTGCAACTGGGGCATCTCCTCGGGCGCAGACGTGTCAGCCATGGGCGTGTTTGGTCGTGTCGATGTGGAGTATCTTGAAAGCGAGTTCCTGAATGCTCTCCTGTTGAACTCTCGTAAGACATGCAGTCCTCCCTTGGCTTCAGAATCGGCTAATGTGTGATATAGGTTATTCCCTTGCGAAAGACCTCTACGAGGCTGACTCCAGCCCTCTCTCATTGAACGTAGTGCGGGATATTGTACTTGGGGCAGCGTTGTCGGCATTTGACAACGCAACTAACCCCAACCGCACGAGAGGAGGACTCAAGAAATGCGAAGAAATGTGCGTAAGCGCCTGGCTTTTTATGAACTTGTATTGACATCTCAACAGCATCAGTGCGTTCCCGAAAACCTTCCACGCATCGCTGCGCGTAAGGCAGCAGGTGGAGCATTTGCTTAAGGCAACCCATTCGCTCAGCCAGTACCGGCTGGTCTTGAAACAAGGCGAGCCCTTCACACCAATCCTCCTCCGCGTACACCCAGATCCCATATCTGTCATTGGCAAAGTCCTTGAACAAAACTCTAAAACCTACACCCGGATACAAGACCTTCTCCAAACGGCATACAGCATGGTAAGGGCTGGCCTACCGGACAACGGTTGCTCCGACAGTGGGTCCGACGGGGCCAGCTCACTCAGCCTCGATGAGAGAGAAGAGCAGCGGCTGGTATCAGCAGAAATACGCGTGACAGCTATGTGCATCGAGGCTGCTCTGAGGGAAGAAGATTTCGAGACGGCCTATTCCTATACTGTCAACCGCGCCACAGCTGATGCATCATCTCGCCTCGGCTCGGAGGCTATGCTTCACAACCACTCGGCCTGGCGCGCGGCGCTGCAGGCTGGACAGTATACACGCAGCTCCCGGACCATAGCCCCGACCCACCTTGGCACTGGTAGCGGCAACCCGCACATTCGACACCTAGAGCAGCGTCTCGAATGCTTCTCAACTTCCGTCCGCCTCGCCCCAGCCTCGCAGCTACACGAAATCCTTGGAGGCTTCCGCAGGTGTGAGGAGCAGTTAGACTCAGCACTCAGTGAACAAATCGCGCGGGGGATCGGCACAGATAAAGACCATACGGACTTGCATCGCCTCCCGGGGAGTTTCGGCTTCACGACCGCTCCTGCCCAAAAGGCGATGCCCTCGGCGAGCGCAGGAAGTGATGCAAGCGCCATGAAAGGAAAGGCGGATGACACTGTACCCATGTCACTCTTCGATCTCTCCCGGGCGACAGCACGCGCCGCCTCGAGGAATTTGTCAGCGTTGTCCAGTCTGCAGCAGTCCTCTAATGCTGGACATGCGTCTGTAAATAACGAGACGGTAGGAGAATGGGGCCGGGCTGATGGTAAATCGGATTCTCAGCATCGGGAGAGGATGCGCAAGCGGGATCAGCTGCGAGATGCGGCCATGGGTACCCTGACCACTGGTGTCGGGTGGCTTATTGGGGCGCCCGTAACAGGAGATAGGAGCGATGCTAAGGATAACGAGCGATGATTTGAGAATATTTAAGCCGCAGCATGATGTTCCTTATTTAGTACTGGAACTTAAGGGGCAAGTCACGTGACCTGTCCTGGAGTGGACAGCGTATCCTAGCTTATCCTGCTATATAGGTAGATAGGTAGTTTCGTTCTGATATATATATATATCTATACTATCGCACATTAAATGATTCTCATATAACAATTATGGTAATAATCCTAATAGAGCAGAAATCTCGTATATGTATAGTATGTTAAGTTATATCTGTGTGAGTCTCTTATACCCTTCCTTTAGGTGGTAAAGACTCTATTATAGGTATTATATTATTTAGATTCTATCCGGTCTTTCCTAATGTCAACTCTTATTATAGTCTGATACCCGAGGTCCGAAGCCCTTAGTCCTATACCTATACGAGATACCCCCTTAGTTAAGGTAGGTCCTTCTACTTAAACTAACTAATTAGAGGCTTTAGTTTAAACTAAACGGTGTTCACATTTTCTATCGTCAAAATAATAGTCTTTTAAAAGTTAAGAAACACTCTTATAAAAATAATCTAAAACCACCCATTTTAATCGTTTAATTTAATTCTATTTTAATTGGTTTCTCGCTTCTAATTAGCCTAATCGGATTCGTCGGATCTATGTCTATCGAATCTATCACGCCCTTAGGGGCTAGGATTATCGCCGTAGCCGTGGCTTTAGCGCGCTTAATCTCTTCGTGTCATCCTTTTAACTACTTAATATAATTCTTCTAAAACATTTGATTAAGCTATTATTATAGTTATTTAATCCCTGCCTTATGTAACCCCTTCGTTAATCCGTCTACAATTATATTCTGTATATTAACGTATATAACCTTAAAGAGTTCTTATTATACTAACGAGCGCACCCACTAGTTATATATATCTATATAGCGTAGCCTTATTCGTAGGGGTTATACTTTCTTATTAACGAGTTTAATAGTTTAGTAATTATCGTAGAATAGCTATAGTTATTATTAATCTAACTATAGCTTTAAATCTTTTAATATACGGCTAATAAATAGCGTCTCCTTAGCCGTGTCTATAAAAGTAAGTAGTTCTAACTCTAGTAACGACGTCGTAACCGTTAGCTACTTACCCGCCTTCTAGGTAATGGTTCCGCCGAAGGGCTTTATCGTATATCCTTATAAACTCTTATAATCTAGATTATCCTTAAAAGACGTGTCGCTCGAGATTAAGAAGAGTCTATCCCTACTAAATTCTAGGTAGTAGTCCCTTATATAGTATAAGAATAGCCGTATTTATTAGGCCCTCTTAAGGTGGTTAGAGAAAGGGTTAATATTATATTACGAAAGCTATAAGTAGGCGAACACGATAGCGGCGTATAGGATTAAACCGATTATACTCTAATACTAACGGACCTTTAGAATTAACGTGCGGGCTACGTCGCGTAGTATTAATAGCTTTATAATCGATAACAAGATCTTTAGTAGTTTATAATAAAGGATATCTATATAGTATTTAACCACGATCTTCTCTACGTCAGAGACTTATAAACACTATAGCCTATAGGTAGCTTAGTCTCTTAGGACCTTAATCTCTACGAACTAATAAATCTTATCCTCGCTAGATAACTTATAACTTCGCTTAAGAGTAGTTTTAAGGTTCTCGGCATTAATCTTACGATGTATATAATAGATATATCCTATATCATTAACGTAGAAGAATAAGATTAAACCGTCACGGATTATAATATAAGGGTTATCGGAGATAATCGTGAATTATATATTATATAATATAACGCTAAATTCATTTTACTATAGTAATAGCGGTACCGTTAGGCTATAAAAGACTTTTTCTAATAGTAGGACCTTACTTAGAACCTTATAGCCTTATAGTATCGTTATAAATACTTCCTCTTTAAGGCTCGTGTTACAGAATACATTAACGGCGTCGAACTACCTTCTTGCTATGTTAAATTAGGCGGCGATAGCTATAAATATACCGAAAGACCGCGAGCCTAATACAGCAGCGTAGTTATCTTTAATCTTTAACCGTTTTTATTAATCCACCTATATTATAAGGCGTACCTTATACTTAGTAAGGGTCCTTTCCTGATTAAACTTATAGGTGTATATCTATCTATAGGCGAGGACTTATTACTTATTGGCCTAATTACTACTTACCTCCTTCTGGTAGACTATTTATGGCTGCCCCTTAAGGTACTGCTTATCGGCCTATGACTACCGCTTCTATAACTGGTAAAGGCGTATATTATAGTAGTGATTTAGCGGGGGTAGGAGCTTATCACGGGTTAAATACGATAATGGCTAGGAGGTATTAAAGGAAGAGAGATTTACGGCGCTAATATCGTCGCCGTTATTAATAGCTGACTTCCTTATATATATAGGGTTATAAGTCCTTCTAGTATTAAAGAACGCCTTCTATTAAATATAGCGTAAGCGTAATAGAGTAAATATAATAAGAACGGTTAGATTGAGAGGTTCTACATTGATTGTATTAAAGCTGTAAAACCGTTGTAAAAACGTGTCACTTAACGTATCGTTCTAGGAGGCTAAATCAATGCCCAAAATCCTACGGATATCTACTATCTATGCCTAACCGCTTATTCGGCCGTTAGGTTATTCCACCCCGAGGAAGTTTTAGACAACACAACCCCTTAACTGCCTAACTATACTAAACGGGTAGGTAGTCAAAGCTATTTATAGCCGACCGATAATTCCGGTAGTTTAATTATTATGTAGCCTCCGTTAGATTCATTCTCTAACCGTTCTAAATATTCCGTTAAGACCTCCTCTACCTTCCTTTACTAGAGACGGTCCTGTATATCCACCACGCCTACCTAGGCTCTAAATACTTCAAATTTTCGCCCGCTAACGCTTTCGTTAATCCGTCCGCCACTATTTCGGCATTTATAATATAGCTACCCTTAATCCTCCCTTATTCCCGGGCTTCCCGTAACTAATAGTTATAGATAACTACGTGCCGTAAACGCGTACTTAACTTGGCGATCTTAATGTTAACTAGCCGGATAGTCTAATTATTATTATATGGGGTCCGTAGTTATAGTTTATTAAATTCTACCCCTGTCTATATTAATAGTCGTTATATAAAGATGCCCTCCTTAGCACCTTATACTAAAGATAATAGCTCTGCCTCTATTCTTAACGTTATAACCGTTACTTTCTTATTAGCACGCTACGCGATTATGCCTTTAAAGAGGCGTATCACAAATCCTCGACTACTCTTCCGATCTACCGTATTATCGGTAAATAAGGCGTCGGTGTAGATCTTAATTATATCTCCACCCCTTAGTTCTAGGGCGTAGGTTTAGGTGGCTAATAGGTATGGAATTAAATAGTTAGCGGTATCGTGATATATTTTCCCGGGAGTAGTGTTAAATCGATATAGCCGTAATACCGTAAAGGCTACGAGCTTAGTAGCTTGCCTTACGGGCAAAGCCGCCACGCTCGCCCCTATAAGGGGTATTCCCGCTACTCGCCCCGGGGGGGCTTGGAGTGAGTAAGCAAAAGTTTCGGTATAAGCTAAAAATACCCCGCTACCACTACTTCTACTATCATCTTCTAAGGCCTCTAAAGATATTAATTACAGCTTAGAAAAGTGGTAGCTATATATTATAGATACTATAGAAACAGGGCCATAGAATAATATATATATTATCTTAGATATAACTCGTTTACTTATATAATAGTAGAAATACTACAGAGTATTTAATTTACTAGTATATATAGGGTATATATTAAAGCTCTTCTAATACTATAGTTGCGGTTCTAAGTAAATGAGCTAAAAATGTTGTTAGCTCCAATAGAGCCTCTACCTATCATAGATATACTTACTTAGTTCTTATAACCATTGTTATAGAGTTTATATTCCGCGAATATATTAGTATGTCTAAAAGTATGATTCTATTATCTCGTAGATAATACTAAGAAGAAATGCCTTAATACTATAGAATATATAAGTAGACTATATATATTATGTATATTATTTTATTCTTTATCCTTTTATAAGACTAATAAGACTATATAAAAGTCTATAGCTATTAGTCTCCTTTAGTTATAGCTATTTAAAAATGGAGAGTTAATATAGTGAAGTAAGGCTGTTATGGGGTTTATACCGAAACTTTTGCCGACCCACTGTAGCTGCTGGATAATACGGGTAAGCCTTTAATATCTTGCTTAAAAGCGTATTGTATTATTTCTGTACTTTTTATTAAAGATAGTTTTATTTATAATATATAGTATTATATTATTATACTCTATTCTATTATCTTCTAGTTCTTTTATACGTGTTACGAGAAGGTTAGATATAAATATAATATTAGTATAATATAGAAAGTAGTTATAAATAGTAAGCTAATATAAGAGTATACAATTACAGTACGCTTATAAAATATATATCTCTTTATATCCTTTCTTTTATAATAATATATTTTATATCTTCTAATATATTATAGCTCCTATTTTATCTTTAATCGTATCCCTAAGTATATGTATTATCTTTGTTTGTATTTTATTTTATATCTTATTTTATATGTTATTTTATATTTTATATACTATTATCTCCTTTATCTTATTCTTTATAATCTCCTTTATCTTTATATTAGATATTCTAGTTTGATCCGGCCTTTATTATAAATTTATATTATAGTTAGAGTGCCCTTATAAAGCCGTCCTTACAAAAAGGCTATATATATAGTTCATTCTACTTATACTAATATATATAGAGAAGTAATTACTAAAGGGTATAGATAAGCTATAATAGCTACTCTATGATAATATTCAATACTTTTAATATATTAATTAAAACTAAATATTCCTAATATTAAAAAAGACTTATAAAGATAGATATACCTATTTTATATATAAGGGACATATACTCCATGTATTAGTTAAAGAAATGCTATATTAGATTATTATATATAAAGCTTTTATATATTACTTTATTTACTATTCCATTTTATATCTCTTATTACAAACATTTTCATTCTTTTTAATTTATCTTCTATCTTCTATTTAGTACCATATATTATATAGTCAAAACCTAACAGATTTAGACACGCCTATTAACTATAGGCGCGTAATAGGAGTAAAATCGATAAAACCACTAAGATAAAGATTATAACTACCGCCTCTCTCCTAGGATACTATCGTAGCG